GCAGAAACTTAATTACTTTTTGAAATTTACAAAGATTGTATCATTGTCCTGTGGACCATGTAGTCTCTGATGAGAAATCTGAAGGAATTTGAAATACTGTTTGTCCACGTATGTATCATTTTTCCCTGGCTGTTTTAAAGATACGTTTCTTTCAGCAGTTTGCTAGATCACTAGTTAGTTCCTAGTGATCTCAACAAAGTTGAGCTACTCCTCTGCCTGGAACCCTAAAGTGTGTGGATGATTCATGTTTGGTCATAGCATCAGAGGGAGGAGGTGGCTGGAACTTGGTTATCTGCTGATGACCTTGACATCTACTTGTATTGACATTTCCCCCTATCATTGCTCCTATCATGTTGATTTGAAATACAATACATTTGATTCTGAACAGAGGGATCACGTGAGCTTGGGGCCTTTTCAAATATCTGAGTGTCTTTCTTGATGGTAGGAGCCACTTTTACCTACTATTCTATGGGAGGGTATTAGGCTATCTCATGCTACTATGAGTTGGCATTCAGTTATTTCTATTCTACTGCTCCCAAGCCACATCGGATACAGAGCCGATGGACATGCCACCCACCTGCTACATTTGGAATTTCAGAAATTTCCAAAACTCTCTGAGTTTAGCTCCTTAGGAGTCTTAGATTTAGATGCTGAGGAAACAACAAAAGAAAAAGGCAAAGAAGGTCAGGAAGATGTATGTTATTTGTGTCCTTTCCTATCGTTTTCCTTCTCTCACTGAATTGTTATCTGCTTGCAAATGTGAAAATCATAAATTATTTTATCAACATTCTTCAGGTCAATTGTTTATAGTGTAACCACTAGGTAATGAGTTCCCCAGGCTTTATGTTTCTGAAACCCAAAAGCTTAGGGTCCTGCCACTCCAAGTAGACTTTCAAAACTTAAAAATGCAGACTTCTTAAAAAATGTGTCCTCATAACAACCTTTCCATGGGGCAGTGTGATAAAATGCCAAAACAACTTGATGTGGAGAAAGGACTAGAATATATATAGAAATGCAAATGAAAGAAGTAAGGTAGCACCTCAAGGCCAGGTGGGCAGTGGTGGCACAACAGTAATACAGTGATCTGTGATGTCAACCCATGTGGGAGGGTCCCAGTTTGTGTTCGGAGCTCTTCCTGTATATACCAGTCTGGGTGCATGCCCATGACCCAGGTCCGGCTGAGGCAGGAGGTGAATTGTGGCATCAAGACCCTATTGGGAATTTGGGTCAATACCATGTCTTAGCAATTGCGAACAATGCCACAATAAACATGGATGTGCAAGTCCTTTTCCAAATGAGTGTATTCCTATCCTTAGGGTAGAGATCGAGTACTAGAATTGCTGAATCATATGGTAGTTCTATTTGTAGGTCTTTGAGGAACTGCCATGTTGTTCTCCACAGTGGCAATACTAATTTACATTCCCACCAACAATGTAGGAGAGTTCCCTTTTTGCCACAACCACTTGTCATTCTTTATTTTTCTGTTGATGATAATGTGCATGATAATATCTTTAACTGGATAATATACAGTATATTCATGCTGGGAAAATTCATCTTTCATGCTGTAATGATATATAATGATTGAATGTGTAAAAGTAAACAAAGAACAAAATAGTTTAGTTATGGTATTAGAAAACAAAGCGAACAACCCTATTGGGAGTGATATCTCTCTCTCTCTCCCTCATTCTTTCTTATGGAAGAAATAAATATTTAATTTTCAAAAAAGAGGGAAATAAGTTAACACCAAAATTTCTCCTGGTATATGTGAGATGGGATCTATTTCACATGGTTGTTATAATGACTAGATGAGTCAATACATGTGATGTATGTGTGAATTTTTTTTTTTTAGAGAGAGATTTTTGCTATAGGGTGCTTGCACTCACCAAAGAGACAGAGAGAGAGATAAAGAAAGCAAGAAATGCCCCTCTAGGGGAGATGACCATGCCATAATCCCTTCTCCTCCATTCTCCTCTTGGGATCTTGGACACGCACACACATGCACCCGACATGAGTTTCAAGCCGTTGGGTCTGGGACTTGAATCACGGTCAGCCATGTGGGACTCCATCAGCATAATCATTATGCAACCCACTGGTCCCATGTTTCAATTTTTAACAACTAGAAATTTATTCTTCCTTTTTAAAAACTTATTATCAATGTTTTACTCATTACTATCACCTCTTCCTTATAAAATTGGTATAAAGATGAATTCTGTATGTTTAAAGAGAATGGAAAGATGTCTTAGCGTTTATTTATCTATCTATGAAACCATTCAGAAAAATAATTTGCTTGAAGAGAGGCTTGGGCCCCTGGTGCTGGAGTAAAACACAACTGGACATAGGCTTGGTAGGAACTTACTTTTACTTCTTCTTTTTTTTTTTTTTTTTTTTGCTTGAGAGCATATGCACTTCCAGAAAGAGACACGAAAAGAGACAAGGGAAAGTGAGGAAATATCCCCCACAATGAGGATAGCCATACCACAATCCCTTCTCCTCCATTTCTCTTTTCGAAATTTTGGGCATACATGTCCAGGTGCCTGGCAGGTGAACCCAAGACTCACTGTTCTTTGTTGGCCGTGTGGGATCCACCCACCTTTACACTACTGGCTGGTTTGGGACTTACTATTCTTTACCCATTTTCTTTTCCTATCCATTCAGAATAGATTTAGACCAAAACACAATTTAAAAAATCATTTCATTAAAATGCGATGGTTTGTTATTTTATCCTTAAAATGAAGCATGTTTAAACTATAAATGTCTAAGAATTAGGACACTTTAGGATATTAAGAGAAAAGGACTGATATAAGGCAGATGTTGTGAAGAGTTTTATTAGAAACATTGCACTGGGAACCAATGGGCTAAGTAACACTTAATACTGACCACAGACTAAATATTTGTGATAAGATTTTAGAATTTCGTGAAAAGGTACAAAAATTTCTCTTATTGCAGAGACTATACCTAATAAATCATGGCAATCATATCATGTATATTATGGATCAATAGGTTAAGTCTGTGTATTTTGCATGCACATACCTAAGTTTTGTTTTGTTTTGTTTTCCCAGAGGTTTTTACCTTAGGGCACATACACTCACCTGAGAGAGAGAGGCAGAGAGAGTGAGAGGGAAATAGGAAATCACCTCCTGAGAGGATGGCCATGCTGCAATCCCTTCTCCTCCATTCTCCTCTTGGGATCTTGGGCACACACACGTGCCTGGTGTGAGTTTAAGCCACTGTGTCCGGGACGTGAACCGTAGTCGACTACGTGGGAGTCCAGCGACATAGCCATTACGCTAACCGCTGTTCCCCCAATCCCATCTTTTCGATTGAATTTTTTGAGACAATTTTAGATTCACAAGTAAGTTTTAAAACATACTACAGACAAACCCATTGTACATTTTGTTTAATTCCCAACAATGATAACATTTTGGGAAGCTGTAGTATCACAGCTAGAATAATTATATTGATTATAATATATCAATTAAAAATATTTTTATTTATGTATTTTTTTAGAGAGATTATTTGCTGTAGGGTACATGTGCTTGCCAGGGAGACAGTGAGAGACAGAAAGTGAGAAATCACCCTCTCAGATGGATGACCACATTGTAATGCCTTTTCCACAATTCTCCTCTTGAGATCTTGGGCACACACACACATCCCATGTGAGTTTCAAGTCACTGGATCTAGGACTTGAACCATGGTTGACTATGTGAGAGTCTAGTGATGTAACCATTATGCCATCTGCTGATCTTATGGTGTATCAATTTTAGTTAAATTTCCCCAGTTTTACTTGTTTTCCTGTGCATGTATGTATGTGAATATGTATGTCTCTGTGTGTTTTTATTCTGTACAATTTCATTACTTGTGGGGATTCATGTATCTGCTAACACTGAAGTTACTGAATACTCCCAATATCCCAAGGATTCTTCAATCTGCCATTTTATGAGCATATCCTCCTCTCGCCTGCCTCCTTTATCTTGCCACCATCCCCATCCCTAACCCCTGATATGTACCATAGTTCTAAAATTTGTAATTTCAAAAGGGACTAATATAGTATGTATCCTTTTGAATTAGGTTTTTTTTTTTAATTTAGCATAATTCCCTGGAGATGAATTCAAGCTGTTGTATCAGTAGTTTGTTTCTTTTTACTGATGAGTAGTATTCAATGGTATAGGTGTATCACCATTTGTTTAATCATTAATCTATTGAAGGATATCCCATCTGATTTCAGTTTGGGGCTGTTATACATAGAGCTGTTAAAAATATTTGTGTACAGGATTTGTGTGAGCCTCATTTTTTATTTCTCTGGGATAAATGCCCAGGAGTACAATTGCTGTGTTGCAGGTAATTGCATGTTTTGGTTGTTAGACTGGCAAACTGTTTTCCAGAGTGTTTGTACCATTTTACTTTCTGCTAGCTATGCATGCATGGCACCATTTCCCTGTCCTACCCACTTTTTTTAATGTAATAACAATAATGATTTATACCAATGACAGCATAAGGCAAGTCATATGTTCTCTTTATGAGCAATTATTCCACTGGTATTTAAGCATATCACTATGACTGAAACAAACATGCCCATACAGGTATCATTTTCATAGTTTCTCACATTTCATTTTGAAAAACTCATTAACATGTACTGAGTTTTTTCTTCCCATCTTTGATATCCATTACTTTATTAAAAGGCTGAACTTCACTCCCTTGGAAAACTGTCTTACTAGTACTCTCCTCTACAGTGCAAGGTAGAAAAATTAACAGATATAGTCACCCAGTCAGGTAAGTATCCTCATAGAAAGGAAACTGTAGAAAGAAAATGTTCAATGTTAATGTTTATGAGCAATGAGAGGAAAGGTACTATTTATTTTTTATTTATTCATGATAGAGTATATGAACACACACACATATCAGAGTAAGAGAGAGATAAGGGAGCTCCCTTCACAGGATCTGGCCATACCGCCGTCCGCTCCCTCCAGTTCTCCAGTCTTAGGACTGTGGGCACTGGCTTCTGTGCCTGCAGTGTTTCTAGCTGACCTGCCGGCAGATTCTAACTGCAGTTGCAATGTGTGAGCCAGCCTCTCTTGAGCAGTCTATTTCTGCTGTGCTGGGGAGCCAGCTCTGGGATTAGATTTTTAACTGTAGAATGAAGATTTTGAAGGGAATAAAATAGATTGCAGTAAGTTATGTAGCCATATAATTTATTACTTAGCAAATAATGTCAGCAGAATGGACTGGTGCGACAATCCAAAATTTATCTCTCAGCGTAAGTACCTGAACTGCAGCAACACTTACCTGAATCATATTAGTATTCCTAGAACCCTGTGTGGTATCTAGTTCAGAGTAAGTGCTTAATAAGTTTTTAACAACGTAATAAAATTGTAACAAAAGTGGGATTTATGACTGATTCTTTTTTTTTAAAGATTAATAGAAGTTGAGATTTAGTTTTGATGGTTCTAAATCTTCAATTGAGTACTAGGCATGAGAGAAATGGTGTTTATCTTTATTTCTATCTTTACAATTTTTGCTAGAGGGACGTGTGCTTGCCAGAGAGAGACAGAGACACACAGAGAGAGCAAGAGAGGGAGAGTGCAAGAGGGAGAAAGCACAACCAAATCAGACATGGTCATGCTGAAATCCTTTCTTGTCCGATTCTCCACCTCGTTGGAACTTTAGGCACTTGCACACACACGCACACACACACACACACACACACACACACACACACACACTATGTTTTCCAAGCCACCAGGGCCTGGATTCCAAGCACATGTTTTGTCGGCCATTTGGAACCTGACTCCCTTAACCCCCATGGAACTGGCCCCGGACAAATACAATGTAATGGCATTGTTTGACTTTAACATTTTCAATGCTCCAAATAAGGAAATTAAGCAAATATAGTTATTCATGAAAAGGGTATAAGCAATAAAAGCTTGTATATGGAATAAATATAGATCTAGAGCTAGATGAGCAGAGAGGTGGTTTATTTCCTGACTTAACCACTAGTAACAGAAAATTGGGATTTTTACGTTGCTAAGATTTGCATTAATGATAGATATATTTAAATTCTAGCTTGATTAGAACATTCTTAAGTATCTTTTAAATGAAACTCTGGCCATGGGATAATTTTGAAGAATTCCAAGTGGCTCTCATGGAACTGAAAACTACCATATGAAATTCGTTGAACTTAAGAATGTACGGAGGTGCTGGCAGGTGGCGTGGCGGACTCCCATGTGGCCGATTGTGGTTTAAGTCTTATACCTGGAGACTTGCTTTCTCACTCTCTCTGTCATCAAATTAAGAAACAATAATAATAAATCAAATTAAATAAATAATTCTTAAAAATTAAAGTCTATTGGGTTTTGCCCAATATTCATTTGGGCAGACTGAGAAGTAGAATGATTAGAGAAACCATCAAAGAAAGAAACAATAGTGTATGTCTGAAGAAAAAAGGATGCTGAGGAAAAGTACGAAATAATTGGGATTTATCTGGTGTACTTTATATAACTGACTATCGCATGCTTAGAGGTGATTATGCTGCTTTTCTGACTCTTGGTGATATATAATTCTTACCATTAATTCCTGGTAGCACCAAAGGTCCAGTTAAGAACACAGCTCCAAAGGCAGGCAGGCCACTGTCTGGTTCCAGCTCTTTCAGCTCTTTCATGTATTACTGTGGTGTTGGGCAAGTTCCTTAACATTAGCACGACTCAGCTCTTCATCTATTAACTAAGGCAATAGCTACCTATGGGAATTTTTCATGAAGGTGGCATTAGTTAATATTTGAAATACACTTAGAAAAAAACTCAGGTACATACTAGATACCATAGAAGTACTTTCTAAGTAAAATTAGGTATGATTTTGGAAATGGTAATGTAAAAGCCAATAGAAAAACCATTTTCCTTTCTCTTTCTTTTTACCTATTTGTCAGTCTATGTATCTTACCAAAATAACATCAATTCTTTCTACATAAACCTAGAATAAGAGAGTACAAAGTTGTTAATTTGTTTAAGACAAAAATGAGTTATTTTTGTTGTTGTTTTTAAATCAGAAACTGATCCTTAGTTTTGAAATTTATTTTTCACTACAAGAAACTGTCCTGTTCATTGGGGCCATTTAGGAAAACACACACACACACACACACGCACACACACACACACACAAAACAAAACTTCTTCCATGTGGATCTCCTCTTACCACGTGGAACTCTTACATTGAATACCTACCCTGGACTAGCCAATGAATTTATTCCAATTATACATTTTTTTATTTTCTCGCTACACTGATCAGCTCTCTCATATTGACAATTGACTTATGGTACCACAATGGCATAGTCTAACTGTATGACCTATGTAAATTAATAACCATTATATTTATTTATATATTTATTTATTTTGAGAGGTTTTTGCTATAGGGCGCGTGCACTCACCAGACAGACAGAGAGAGACACAGAAACAGAAAGCGAGAAATCACCCCCCAAGGGGGGATGGTCACGCTGCAATCCCTTCTCCTCCATTCTCCTCTCGGGATCTTGGGCACGCACGCACATGCGCCCGGCGTGAGTTCTAAGCCACCGGGTCCGGGACGCAAACCGCGGTCGACTATGTGGGAGTCCAGCGACATAGCCATTACGCTAACTGCTGGTTCCCAACCATTATATTTATTACTTCTTCTGAAGGTTCCCTTGAAATCTTTTCATTTCTTAAACTATTAAATGAAAAAAAAAAAAAAGCGAGACAAAAGCTATATGCCAATTTTTTTGTCTTGCCATGTAAGAATATAAGAGTATTAAAAAACACACTGTCATCTGGTATGCCATCATTTTATAAAAGTAAGAGAATTTAACCTAACAACAACAAAATAGAAAGGATTTAATCTTAGATTCAATAACAGCTTTTACATTTTTCACTTTTCTTTTACTTTATTTTCATTAATTCTCCCCCACCCCATAGTGAGAACTATAATGAGGACTGGCATCAATACTGGGACAAACTGCATCTCTATGATACACGTTTTGTTTGGTTTGCTTTTGAGGTTATATTGGTTGTAGAAGAGAAGCCAATTAAGTGTTGTCAAATCAGCATGGCTTTGTGGTCCAGTTTGTTAAATGGCAAAAGCAATGACTCAAAATTAACTTTCTAATGAGCTCTTCCTCACGGTAGTGTTTTCTCTCCTGTGATGAAAAGTAACAAGTTTATTTCCCTGTCAATTCTTATTTTGCTTACTGCTGTGATGACACTCTGTAGATGGTGCCAGAGGCTGAAAAACAAAATAACAATTACAAAAATGAAAACTGAATTAAAAAGCAGGCATTCTATAAAAAGAATAGTAAATACACACTATTTCCCCCAGGTGAAGATGCTGGTGCTCTAGTTGTTGGCAGCCATTGGATGAATAGTCTGAGCAGTTAGCGGCAGCCAGCATTTATACTGTGTAGGTCCAAGGCTTCCCTTTCCCTTTGAACTGTACCATTTGACATGAGTATTTTTAATGCACAATGGAATAACAGTTTGGTGCATTTGATTGTAGATAGCTTTCATGCCACCTCCTAAAATGAACTGATGTCACTTTTTTAAACATAATAGAGATTATTTCGTAATATTTGAGTCTTCTGTTCTCCAGGTCCATCAATGAGCAGGGTCAGTGATTTCTATCCTTGTGTCATGATAGTTAGAACTCTAAGTTCCTCAGGAGGAAAAAAAGAAAAAAGAAAACTATCTTTTAATCTTTGGTCTTGACGAGGTGCACTATGATAGGAACAGCTGAGATTTTCTTTTTCTTTGTATTTATACTCTGAGGATTGATGAGCTTCTTGAGTTGTACTTTTCCTGAGAGGAAGAGAGTCAAAGGCTGACTTTTGCCAGGTCTTGCCATGCTGCAATCCTCCTGAACAAGCCTCCCGTTAGCTAGGATTACAGGCATGCAGCACTTGGTCCAACAGTCAACCCCGAATCTCCCATGTCATCTTGACCTCATGAAGTGGTGCCTGATCACATGTGCCACCAAAGCTGGGCCAGCTCTTGCACATTTTTGTGTAAATGTATGTCTTTCACCAAATGGGAGAAGATTTTGGGCATTGTTTTTTCAAGTACTTTTTCTGCCACCCCTCTGTCTGAGTCTTAGCTATTCATATAAAACTTTTGATAGTCCCATAAATCTCTGAAGCTCTTTTTTTTTTTTTTTAAGTTTATTTATTTCTTACATAAGAGAGTTAGAGAGAGAGAGAGAGAGAGAGAGAGAGAGAGAGGGTCTTCATGTCACAATCGACCCCCAGCCCCAGCCACCCCAGATCATGGCACATACTCATGCACCATTGTGCACAGGGAAGCCTTAGGAAACAACCCAAGCTTTTCCCATGTAAATCCAGGTACATTACTGCTGTGCCACTGTCCAGCCCCTGTTTATTTTCTTTTAATCCAATTCTTCTAATCTTTGTTCATGTTCTAAAAGTCATGATGCTCTCTCCCTACTAAGGACCTTGCTTATGCTCTTCCCTTTGCCAGGAATTCAAAGCCTTCACGGTCCTATCCACCTAGTTAACTTCTACATCCTTTAGCCTCCTCTCAAGCAATGCCCTTTACAGACCTAAGATAAATTTCCACCTCATTAGCATTCCTCCTTAATAGTCATTTCACTTTATGATAATCCATGTACTGGAGCGATTACTTGATTAAAGCCTGCCATTCCCATGAGGTGAGTTCCATCGGAACAGGCAGAGTTTTTCCTCACTATTACGTATTCCTTGGCATAAAGCAGGCATATGAAAAATGTTGAATAAGAAAAATATGGATTTGTTCTTTTATGGTATTATCAGCTCATAATGTATGTTTACCATAGACAAGTCAAATGTTCATTTGACTGCTTTTGACCTTACCTTGAAGAACTATAAAATTAAGGAGTTGTGCCAGATTTTTCTAAGGATCTGTTCAACTCTGAAAGGTTCATCTATTCTTAGTTTAAAAGGATGAAGCTAACAGAAAAAGAATAAAGACCATAGCTTTCAGTTTCCTTTCCATTCCCTTTTCTTAATTATAAAAGCATAATAAAATGAAATAAAATATTGACTATCCTTGAAAGCTGTTTAATATTCATGTTATATGTTATAATTTTTATGTTAGCATTCTTTTTTTATTTTTCTCCATCCACATCAAATTTTCTATTTGGAATAACGAATCTCCATGAATTCTTCATTACATTATCCAGACCTAAAAGTAAACAATAGAAGTCAAAACCTTAGCTATTCCCTCCGTGTGAGGACATTTAAGAAACTGTAAAGGCAGCAGAAAACCATTTTGAAAAGCACTAAAGCATCTGCTTATCTATCGATTTACCAAAGCTTTCTTAAAAACTGTTATCAGAAACATTTAGAGAGTTATAAACTTGTGTTTGTACAGCAAATATAAATAAACTATAGTCATCCAACTTAGAGAAAATACCTGATGAATATTATTACACAGTTTTCTGAAATTTTAGTGTGGCTTCTTTACATGAACAAAGGCAAGAGTTAATGGAAAATAAGTTAAATAATTGCAAGAAAATGCCCCTTTCCAGGGACTTTTGTAAATTCCAAGTGATCTTCCCATTGCATGAAAGTTTGCTGCAAATATATATGTTTTGCAGTTAACAAAGTGTGAATAAGCCTCCTCAGCAATGTTTGCTTGAAGGCCCCCAAATCCCTGCTGTGAACATGTAATCAAAAAATTCATGTTCTGCTGACAGGAGTTCAGTAATGTCAACTTCACTTTGAGGACAGGCCATTTACTTTGTTATATACTAAATTATGTTGTGATTTAAAAATCACTCTGTGATCCTGACTCTGCACCGGTTTCCTTACTCAGATGCTGTGATCAACAATTTCCGTAAGATGTCATAATGTTTTTAGTAGGTGACTTCCTTAGTTTGATTGAATAAAATGATAGACTCTTTGTAATCTAGTTGACTATCCTTAGTATTTGTATAGGGACAGTATGTATACATACACATTTAACTGGCCATCTTCTCCTAGTGAACCAAATATAATAGTACAAACGATTTCTCTGTGTCCTAAACACATATTAAGGAAAAAATATTTTCAGCATAAAAATCCTTTGAAGGGAATCTATGTCACAATCAACATATATTTTTTTCAAACAGAAGAGGAAGAATAAGATGTAGATAAATATTCCTTTTGGGGGGATCAGAAAATGCAATTTATGATTATTTTAAGTATTCATGAATATAGCTATTTCTTGTGTGACCTTCTATAGTTATCAAAAACTTTGAATTGATAAAATTGAATAGAGATTATTCTGAAGAGAGAAAAAATGATTTTTTTTAATCTACTGGAAGAGATTTTTTTCTTTTAAGTAAAAGGTTGATCCATTTATGCACTTGATACCAATGTCATGATATTTTAATTCCAGGCAAGGTGATGATATATACCTGTACTTTTAAATTTGTAGTGAGTGCATGCACTTACTGGAGAGAAAGAAAGTGAGAAAGCACCACCCATGGAGGATGGTCATGCTGCAGTCTCTTCTCCTCCATTTCTCCTTTCAGGATTTTTCTGGCATGCACACCCATGCCAGTACATCCAGGATCAAAACATACAGTCAGCCCTGTGGTATCCAGCTGCCTTAACCACCATGCAACCACTGGCCTAAGTGACTTTTTTTTTTTTTTTTTAATATCTAAGATATCTTGACCACTCAATAGGAAATAAAATCCATACAACTGGGACCAGCAGATGGTGCAATGGTTACATCG